CCCCTCCACCACATTTGTCCCATAGCAGCTTTCTGTAAGTATGACCTGCGGTGAAAAGCCAGTCTTTTGTCATGTCATGCATGGACTGTATTTCCAGGTGATTAATTCACATATATATATTAATATGAGTGGAGTGCGTCATTTTACAGCAACAGTCCAAAAACTGAGTTGAGAGGGTTTGCATGCGTGGACAGTGACGTGGCGTTGTGGCAATCTAAGACCGATGTGAAGAAACTCACTGAATGCTGTGGCTTGTTTTGTATAATGACATGTTTTGAAGTTTTGACTGCAGGAGCGGGAACTCTTTCTTTGCACCATACCTCTATTAGGAAAAAGCTCGTTTTCCATTTGAGTTGAATCTCACAGAACTTACAGGTCTTGGAGTGTACGGCTGTGGACAGCAGATCTTAACAACTAACAAATAACACAATAATTGTACTGTTGCATTATGGGTTTAGTCATGTAACTCTCCAAATGACATTTAGATTACATGTTGGTCTTTGCAGTCATCATCCATAATAATATTTTGTTTCTTTGTGCCTCCTAACCATATTCATTCCCTAACAATGTAGGCCATGTAGGCTTGTTGAAGTCTACAACACTTCACACATTGGACAACTTTATTTATCTTTATTCATTTTTGTCATTATGTAATATTCTCCCAGAGTCTCATCTTTAGTTTTTTCACTGCATTCTTATTTTTATGAAATCTTTTCTCATCGCCTTTCTCTCTCTTGCCTTCTGTCCTGTCCATCACGTCTCTCTGCCTTTCCTCCCGGCTGCTCACAGAGAAGCTTATTGAGGGTCTGAAGTCCCCTGAACCTTCTCTGCTGCTCGCCGACCTCCTAACTCCAGCCAACCCCTTCAATAGTTATTCAGAGAGCTCCAGCCATGGTACTATTGCTGTTTTTGTCCCAGGCCTTGCCATTACATTCCCAGTATGCTCTGCATGTGTCCTTCTTGTCTTCCTACAGAGGCGATCTTACCTTTTATCATTACTCATTTCTTTGTACCTGTTTGGAAAAATACTGAATGTACTCTTCCAGTATCAGAGTAGCACATGATAACAAAGGCCCTACGTAGCTGTGTACGTGACCGGATGTATGATTTACCTAGAAGAACATTAGGACTGTTTTAGGCATATGATAGCTATGTGATTAACATGATGATTCATCTCTATGGAGACAGACATATGACTGTCATGTTTATTGCTTACGCCGGCCTTAGCTAATCTGAACTAAACATTGAATTAGGGCTGCTCGATTATGGCAAAAATGATAATCTCGATTATTTGGGTCAATAATTGATATCACGATTATTAAAAACGATTATCCATTTACTGTGAAAACATTCATTTATTGGAGAAAAAAAATGTGAACAGTATGTTTTTAACAGTTGATTATTAATAATAATAATTAATAATAATAAAAAAGAAGTAATAATAATAATCGTTTTATTTCGATTACGTTGTTTTCGTAATCGTTGCAAGCCATAATCGTAATTGCGATTAAAATACGATTAATTGAGCAGCCCCACATTGAATACTGCTTTGAACCGGTATTCTGCATCTAGTGACTGTAACTCTCTTGTATATAAAGCATGTCAAGGACACTATTCGGGGAACCATTTGTCCCACGCAGCTCTGTATGTGATGACTCCCTCCATTCTTGCAAGGATAATAAATACATGTATCCTGATATTGAAGCTCAAGCCGCTGACGAGTGATATTTTCCTAACTGTACCGCTGTCTTTTCCGCTTTCTGTCTCCCTGTAGTGAACTCAGAGATGTGTGTGGATTCACTGATTCCCGGGTTGGAAGCCCCCCAGCGACACTCGGGCCAGCCTGAGCTCATCCCCGCCAGCATAACAGGTTAGCGTCCTGGACCCAATAGCAAAACATCTTAGCATCAATCTCGTAAAGTACTTAATAGTTCCCAGCCTTGGTCATTATGTCCTTGTCACTTGTTGATATCATCCCCAAGGTTTTTTTGTAACCTCGTTAACTTTGTACAGCTGCAGTCACTTTATCATTGACAATCCCCGTCATTGTGCCAGATCACGCTGCTTTGACAGAAACACTGCAACAACAAACAATTTACGGCGTGTTTAAAATGTCAACACGGCACTTTAGCGGATGGAACCGTTGCTTCATCTCGGTTTTCTAGGGTGTGACACGATCTAATGAATAAGAACATGCAACACATGATTTATTATCAATGCTAATCTTGCCCAAAATCCATCCACAGTCCACATTCTGCTGTAATGGTTGATATTAGCTGTGGCAAACTGTAAAGTCTGGACCCACAGCTGTACTTCCTGCACCTGGCAGCATCTTTTATTATGGGATTCCCACCAAGCCTTTCCTTTGATAGTGATGATTATATGCTTTCACAGATAAAACGTGGTACTGGCTGACTAACACAATGCCTTTTCCTACTTAAGCTAACAATCTTGTTTTGACTCTCCGTCTGGCTTTCCTTCATCCTGTCTCAGACTCTCTCACTGGGGAGGACTCTCTGCTGGGCTGTGATCTGTTCTCTCGTTCTACTCTTCATGGAAACCAGTGTGTTTCTGCTCTCCCACCTTCCTCCTCCTCCTCCTCCTCCTCCTCAGCTCCTCCTGGATCCTGTCTGGAGGAGCTGCCGGCTGGTCAGACAGCTTCTGGTAAGAGCGGCTATTTGCAGCACCCCTCAACAAGTCTAACGGGCGTATTGCACCATGAAACAATCACAGACTACAGATCCTTCCAAAAATGGAGGGTTTGTTGAAATGTGAAACAGAAGTAGGCCCATTTGAAATGACAGCTTCACAGACCCTTGACTCGTGTAAAAGAGCCCAAAGCCACCTAAAATGCATGGCTTTGAAAATACTGAGCGTGCCCTGGCTTCATCTATTTTTAATCTACTTGCATCCTCCTTTTCCTTTTGCTCTTTCTTTTGGCTGAGTTAACTTCTTTTCCCCCCTCCACCATTCCTCCACTTCCTCTTCCTTCACCGCAGACTCTACTTTCCTCATGTCGTGTGGGGAGAAGGGCAATGACGACGAGTTTGACCCTATTCCTGTGCTCATCTCCAAAAACTCAAACCAAGGTAAGGTTAACAGAAAGTCCCGAGATGAGCACTCACACCTGCTGAAGCCCAGGCTACGAGCCGTAGAGATGAAACCCCCCCTAGTTCAGTTTGAATAGCTCCTTCCTGTCACTGCTGAAGTGAAGGCTTGTATGGGTGTGCTTGTCACATTCAGGCTTTTTACCCCATGGAGCTCTCACATTAGCCATCTCTTTAGTTTCTAATGTTATCCTGCCAGTGATTCTCCGCCTTGCAGGTGGCTCTTTTTTGTAGCTTATCTTAAAAGTCTCCTCATGTTACAATGGCATTCCCTTACTCTCCCCCTGTAATGATGCAGCTGTGTAAAGATGACCCCGGCTCACTCTCTGCCTGTTTCTCTTTCTCTTTCTGCCCCCCCCCCC